CGGCCCCGCCCAGCCTGTGGGACGTGCTGCAGCAGTGCTCCGAAGAAGGCCTTGCAACCATAGGTGCCGTGCATGGCTCGGGCCAGCTCTCCACTAACAGGAATACTGATGCTACTCTTAACAGCAGTAACAAAGAGCCCCACCTTACACACCTGGCGGCAAACCCCTGCGAGGTTCAGCTGCGCAGAGCCCCCGAGATAGCCTGACTGCAGGCACAGGCGGGCACCAAGCCCAGGGGGACAGGCAGGGTGTTCCCTCTGTGGGACAGACCCGCCACCTCGCAGCCTGGCTGGCTGCCTGCCTGCCAGGCACGCTCACAGGACCCCCAAAAGCGGTACTGATTTCGGTGCCTCAAGGCTAGCTGGAGCCACAGGAGGAGAGGAGCTGGTGTGAGCATTCAGCCACGAACTGTGACCCCCTTCCCAGGCAGAGCGGAGCCCACGGCCCTTCGCTGGGTGTCGGCATGGCCCGGCTCAGGGTCCCCTTGGGGCTCACCTGCAGCTGTAGATGTCATTGATCTGATAGTGCTTGTTGAAGGCGATGGCCTCCATGCTGTCGGTGAGAGGCCCATCCAGCACTCGGATGCCTGCAGGACAAAGGACAACGAACGTGACCAAAGTGGATCAAAGTAAGCTGTGTAAACAGTGCAAACAAATTCCTTGGCAGGTTCACACCAGGGACACTCACTCTCCCAGCCTGACCGAACCAGATCTCCCGGAGCTGTTATCCTGCAGACCAGTCCGCAGGGGCTAGATGTGCACGAGGGTCTGGGATTGTAAGTGCACCCTCACGCACAGCTCCCTCTGCCAGACATGCCTTTTCCGTCAAGCAGGGTCCTCCAGTCCCACTGCCAGAACCGTTGATGACGGGGACAGCACAACTGAACACCAGCTGGGCTCACCCCCGTGTGTCCCTGAGCCCCCCTACCCACAGTGCTGCTCCCCAGGGGCTTCTTCACATCCCACCCTCAATCATCCCACTGCTTTTCAGGGCTAGTCCGGCCCTGGAGCAATTGCTTCCCCTTCCAGGTCACCAAACAGCCAGGCATCGCTTTGGGATGGACGGCACGCTTGCCCGCTGAGGGAAGGGCCGACGAGACGCAGGACATCCCAACTACTGTGCTCAGACCAGGAGGGCAAGGCCACCTCTCCGACAAAGCCAACGAAGGCTCAATGCTGAGTTTTCGGTGACCCAAACCATTGATAATTACTGTTTTGCATGACCGTTTAGGCTGGCAAAGCATGTTACAAATGGAAGCCAGGCACGCATCTCAATTAAGCCTATTTATAAACAATGCAACCGCCCACCCATCTCAGCTCTTGCCTGACACAGCACATGCGGCTTTTTACTGTCGCATTTGAGGA